TGACACTTGCAATGCAAAATTTAAACATAAATGTAATTTGCAGAGGCACATTTCAACACACTCGGATATTTATCTTTTTAAATGTGACATTTGCAAAGCAAAATTTTAAGGAAAAGATTATATGAAGAGACACAAACTAACACATTCTGATATTTATCCTTTTGAATGTGATATTTGCAATGCAAAATTTAAAGAAAAAGGTAATTTGCAAAGGCACGTATCAATACACTCGGATATTTATCCTTTTGAATGTGACACATGCAAATCAAAATTTAAACAGAGAGGCGATTTAGGGCCGAATTTATTGTAGGTCCTTGAGGTTTCCTCAGACCTTAAGGAAGCCTTGAACGTTTAGAATTGACATCACTGACTTGTCAAATAGTGGCAAGTGTCCATTCTAAATTCGCGACTCCAAGGAAGATTCGAGGAACGACTATAAATTCGGCGCTTAAAGATTCACAAACTAACACATTCAGATATTTTTCTATTTGAATGTAACACTTGCACTGTAAAGTTTAAACTTAAATACAATTTGAAGAGTCATTTATTAACACACTCAAATGGGAGGAATTTTAAATGCAACATATGCCACGCCAAATTTAAAGCTGGAATTTGTTTAAAGTGACATTCAGTGACCCATTCAGCTAGATAAATGTTAGTTTGAATGTAATGCTTATATTGGTGAATTTAGCATTAGCATTTTTTTTCAAATTCTTTCATTTATTTTTGGTTAACAAATTTATCATTTATAGCTTTGAATTTGTATAGTTTGGTGTTTATATAAATAAATAAATATAATAATATAAAGAATTGTTTATTGTTTTTTACGCCCTAAAACACCTGCTAGGTTTTGTATTTAATTTGTAATTTTTGATGAAATATTCAAATATCACTATCAAATAGTATGCATTTTTAAATCTCAGTAATAGTATTTCTATAGTTTTTTTTTCTTCATATACTTATATCGCTGGCATCAGTGAACTTCAACACAAATATTGAATTTCTAAACTTAAAAACAATTGAATGAAGCCGTGTATAATAGCTGGGTTCGGTAATTGACACGCGAAAAGAGATAAGTGATCACGTGACGTCTGTCAAATTTTGCTCACTTCGCTCGCAGATGCAATTACCGAACCCAGCTATTATACGCGTCTTCATTCAATTGTTTTTGAGTTTAGAAATTCAATATTTACGTTGAAGTTCACTGATGCCAGCGATATAAGTATATGAAGAAAAAAAAATTGTAGAAATACTATTACAAAGATAGTAAAATGCAAATAGGTTGCATTGTTGGTGCAATATTTTAATATTTCATCAAAACTTACAAATTGAATACAAATCATGGCAAGTGTTTTAGGGCATAATATTTTCAAAGAAGCTATGACCTCTCGAACTCCATCCAGCACCTACACTATCATTGTTAAAAAAGTTGTATATTATTATGACTCTCTGGGTCCTCTGTGGCATAAACCTAATATTCTCACTTTGCGTTTCATATTTGCTGACTGGAAGCAACAATGGCTTTGGCTTCTGCTAAAATGATGACACGATACAAAACATCACACCACACAAAAATCCCGAGCTAAAAATAGATTGCCATGTTGCCAAGTTTCGGACGCAATAACATACTAGGTTTATATACTGTATACTTGACTCTGTATATTATTTTCGCACCTCTACCGGAGAATCGATGAACTAATAGTATACATTTTTATCTTTAACACGAATATTATTGCGTCCACTCCCAAACAGAAAATCCAGTAAAATCATAAAAATCCCAATAGATGCTTCCACTTTTTATTGTGGAAAGGAAACTTAGAAACTTCTGTCACCTGTTCGCGCCTAAATTTTGTTTCAAAATTGACGGGAACTCGCAAAAATATGAGTTGACATTGTTGCGTCCGATATTCGGACGCAGTAATTCGAAGGAAGCAATAGTGTATGTCTTGAGGAAGTTGATGGACGCAGCAATGATAGGATTTTGTATATATATATATATATATATATATATATATATATATATATATATATATATATATATATATATATATATATATATATATATATATATATATATATATATATATATATATATATATATATATATATATATATATATACATTAAACTACATGCCAATGTTCGATATGGAACATTATCTACCACTGTACCATTTATATCCATTTGAAAATTGACTTCCATTGGAGTGGCAAATGACTGAGTCTCGTCCATTCTAAATTCTTCTAATAGCCCTTTAATCATTCTTTTCTGGTTAATTTGAATATCATTGTCACTCCTATTCAAATCCGTTCCAAGAAATTTTTTCACTTCATACATTGATTTGTCTTCAAATTCCCGAAACAAGTTGGTAATGTAATTGACTTGATCTTCTGGTCCAATTATCAGAGCATGATTAACAAATAATACTATGGATATGTTGTCATTCACAAATAAACAATAGTCATATTGTGATCTTCGAAAATTTAAGCTTGTCATGACTTCATTAAATTTCATGTTCCAACATTTGGGCGCATTTTCAGGTCCATGTAAAACACGTCTCAATTTAAAACAATTTGCATCTGTGTTCAAGCCTTCAGGTGCTTTAATGCACTAGGAATTCATTTAGAAATGCAGTAGGAACATCAATCTGATGCAGTTTCCAACTATTCTGTAAAGACACGGATATAGGTATTCTTATTGTAGCTAACCTGCATACTGGGACATAAATGAATTCATTACTTTCATTATAAATGGTACTTGGAAACCTCTTGCAACCAATCTTGCTTTCTTTGTACCATCATCTTTTATTTTAAAAATCCACTTCGTATCTATAGCTGTTTGACATTCAGCAAGTTCTGCTGGAATCCAAGTTTGAGAGTTTTTATGAGATTTAATTTCCTTTTCTATGGCTTCTCTCCACTCTGCAGTTTTACAGGCTTCTGCATAACTCTTAGAGGGCTCATCTGGATTCGCTGTCAGCAAACAATAGGCACTGTATATTTCATAGTCATCAAGAATTTTGGGTATGTTCACAGTTCTTCCATGTCTTGTAATAGTCCTATTATGTGTTTGTATTTATATGTTTTTCGTTCCCGTCACTACTTGAATTTCCATTGCATCCTTGCATATTATTGGTCATTTGAACAGGTCTCTCTTCTTGTATCTCTTCAATTTAATTTCCTTCTTGTCTCTCTCTCCTCTCCACTGTGCTTGAAAATGTTGTGGGCTGCCATATACAAAACATGTTCTGGTATTTACTTATGGGTATTTACATTTAGGCCTAATTCACTACATAGCTCTTTTCGTTCTTTGATTTCATTTTTATTTCCTCGTCCAGCAGCCTAGCCTTCACAAAATCCAACTTAACATTTGCGACAGTCTCCAGAGCTGTCACTACTGTGTCTAGTTTCAAGATTTAAACGTTTTCTCTAACAGGGAAATCTTGCAAATGAGCTAGAACGTATAAAAATATTTTTCAAAGCTTCAATTTGAGTCCTTACAGTTCTGCAATCCTATTATATCTAGGTATTTGTCGGATATACACCTTGAACTATAATTGATTGAGCTTTATAATCCTTTTTTCTCCAATCTCCTTTTTCTTTACTAGAAGCTACCTCAATAGGTTCATTGCTTTGTATGGCCTCATGACAGTTTTCCCTTCTCAGCAAAGTTACCATTTTAAATTGCCAATTGTTGAAATTGTTTGCCTCTAACACTGGTACTGAATTGTTATTTATTCCAGCTATAGTTCACTATTTTCTCCAGAATTAAACAAATAATGACTCTGACTAAAATCGAAAATACACTTAGAATTTGCAGCTATTTTTCACAAACCTTCACTTCTGGGCCCATAACCTCTTGAAGTTAAGGGACAAGAATGCACTGGAAGCGATTTTTAGTAAAAGATATAATGTGAAATAACGGGAAAAACTGACTAATAACTATTAATGATTGAGACAAAAGAGGATTTCATCTGACATTACATTAGACAATCTATCAAAAACTATCGTCACTACAAGTGCAGGTAAAAGAATAATATGTGTGATAAAACTAAGTGAATTTCCATATCCTACACATTATTATATTCAACAAAGATGACCAATCAACGAATATTCCCAGGAATGTCAACGGCTTCAGAGCTCGGAAGGCTATACAAAACCACCAACTCGAAACCTTCAGTCTGTATAGGAGATCAAGATAGGAGGGATCTTCTTAACAAATTCTCATTTATACTATTTCAACTGCAAGTGGTACTGAGTGAAAAAGGTCTAGGATATTCCTTTATGAGAGTCAGCGAAAATGTTGGAACATAAACTTACTATTGAGACTGAGCCAATCAGAGGCTGCAATAAGGTGACTTACCCCTGTATATTATACTGAAAGACCATATAGAGGATTTACTACAAGAGAGCCATGGACATTGGTTTTGAAAGACCTACGTACGTCGCTGAAAACACTCCCCAGAAAATTCAGAAGCTCATCAGGGGCCTGAAGGACATGAAGAATAAGTAAATGCCCTGTGATGAACTTCATCGACAATTGACATCGCTAAATCCATATTTGAGTCTGGATGACTTTATGCAAAGCTGGAAGCATGCGGAAGGGATCACGAATTCAAAAATGCTTTTTTCCTAGCAAAGTAAGGTATCCGCCAAAATAAACAGTACCTATTTGAAAGAGCTATCAAGAGAAAACGAAAAGGCTCGAAATAATTTCTGACGAACAATTTGGCTTAAGAGCAGATCACTCTAATAAATTGCAATCCGTCAGAATATAGAGCATATGACTGGAAAGAGCTACAGGCACAATTCTTCTAGACGCTGAACCGTACGTACACAGCGTTCATGACATTTCAAGGTAGATATACCGGAAGAACTTATTACTTTTTCCTTCCATCAGTTCAACTTTACCAATTCACTGAGAGTTTCTACCAAACTTATTCCTGAAATTTCAACTTGGGGAGCTCCGTCTAGTTTCAAGTTCCCCTTCCATCAAACTTACAATTGATTTTTAGTTTCTTCGCAATAAGTTCAGCTAAATCTTTGCAGTATCCTTCAAAGCGATCATTGCCCATCAAAAGTTCTCCGGGTTCTTCTTTTCTTACCGAAATATATGGTTCTTCCTAAAAATAAGTCTTGATATATTTTTGAATCTACAAAAACCTAGTTACTTACAACAATAGTTGTAACAATATACGTCTTATTCCTCTCGATATGAGCCGCGGGTTTCAATCGAGTGTATTTAGCAGCAACAGGAACGAATCCAGTTTCGTCGCTCCATTCGGCTACTTTCACCATGGCGCTGTTTACAGTCATTTCGACTACGTGCAATGTGTAATTTTGTCTTCTGCCTTCTTCGGAAAATCGAACTTCTCCCGTCAGACCTTCTATTTCAACCTAAAAATTATTATAATATAATACATTGTACTGATTTTTTCCCTGTAAAAATGGCCATCAAAATATAACAAAGTAGGTAACCACTCATTTGAACAAAAAAAAATCAAGGCGATTTAATCTGAAGAATTAACAGTTTTCGTGCTTAATAGTGATTATGCGGCACGCCATTTGCCTTATAGATGCAAAAAAATTGTTTGCAAGACAAATCGATGTTCATATTTTTTTACTTTTTGACATTTACATAAGATTTATGGCTATTATTTATGATTATCAATATACAAACCTTTCTTAAGTATCTGGATATTTTATCGCCATGTTCCCAAGGCGAAACCCACCCAACCGGCGGATAGCAATCCAAAATTTTACTGCCGTTATTGTAAAATTGCCCTCTTCCAGCCCGAGTGTTGATATTTTTAAAATTGTCAGGCTTCTTTCTGAGAATTTTATTGAAGGCCTCGACCAACACGAAAACTGCGTCGTATATCAAAGCCGCTTGTGCCGAAATGGTTTCTCTTCCTGCGCCTTGCGATTGGACGGGATCTAGGCGCTTCCAGCCTTCCAAGAACTCTTTGACGGGCTTTCTGGATCCGTCTACGATTCGGAATCCTGTTATATTGATAGCTCCATACTCGACCACTTCTGATTCCCATCTGTCGTCCATAACCTGTAAAATAAAGGACAAGATAGGAAATTCGTTGTAGTGATTCAAAGTGTCGTGGAGTTGGCCAGGAATTCCTTTTATTTATTCCCGTGATCTCAAGATAATTTAAGTTCTCAAAAAATTTCCTGAAGCAAAGTCATGATTTTCTGAATTTAAATGTACTTAATGCGTAATGTGGAAGAGTGTTATTTTTCACGAAGCTAAATAATTGATGTTATTTATTTCTTTTTTTGAAAGATCTTTCCTGTTTGTCCGATATATACTTCCGGACAAGTACCACATTCTAATAAGTAAACTCCTGATTTGGATAGTTCCAAAAGATTCAGGAAACAAAATGGCTTGAAAATGGAATCAAGGAAACAAAATCCCATTCAATTTTGTGCAGCGGAAAGGAGACCAGAAGGAAGGAGTTCTGAGTTGCCTTCATTGTAAACAAAAGATGAAACAAAACATACTGAAATTCAAGGCGATAAATGAGAGGATGTGCAAGCTAAGGTTAAAATACAGGTTCTTCAATCTATCAATGTCCATAGCCCAACAAAAGAACAAGATTTGGATAAAATAAATACCTATAGTTTAAAAAAACTAAAAAACACGCTTTCATAGTAAATTGAACTAAAAAGTGAAAAATAATTTTTAATATAAACAAAAAATATTAATGAACAAAAAATATTAGAATTATTGTGAAAAAAGCGTGGGGTGTTCAATGTACGAGAAATTTAGGCTCTTATCTGACGCCCCTCTCATTGGATTATAAAAAATATTTAAGTAACTGAATATTTCGTCAATACAAAATTACGATAAAAAACAAATTATTTTTAGAATCGGTTTTCAACAGGAATTCTATAATTTCTTAACTCCATTTTTGATGCACTTTTTAAAGTGAACATTTTTTGGAATAATTCAACAGATATTTTACTTTCAGTTTTCCATGATTATTATTATTGATTGCAGCAATCTTTCAGGTTATTAATATTTTCTACTTTATAAGCAGTTTTGGACTTTGATTTTAATGACAATCGAAGATTTCTATGTTGTCAATAGAAACAGCGAGACCTTTGAAATGGCTAGATTTTGAGCAGTGGACCCATTTTCTACAGTATTGACTTTAGTACCCTTCTTCAAGAGTTGCTCTATCATCCTTTTTTCATGATTGTTATCATTAACTGTAGTAATCTTCTGAATCATTAATAATTACCTTTATGTAATCGTTTTCGGACTTTGATTCAAAAGGTATTCAAAAATGTCTATATTGCCAATATAAACAGCCACACTGAATGATGTTGTATTATTTGCGAACAAGTAATATCGAGGAGTCTTATGAATTATTATTTCGTAATCGAATCATTTCCTCTAATGCTTCACTGTTACATGGAGTTTTACCTGTTAACTTTGAGCAATCAAGTTCTTCGATTCGAATACCGTCCAAAGATCTGCACCGACTAAGTGCTACATAAGCTTGTCCAGCAGCAAACAGTCGAGAGCCCAGATAAATGACTGCATGATCAACTGTACAACCTTGCATCTTATGGACGGTCGATGCCCAACTCAGGATTAATGGCAACATTCGTCTCTCAGCAGTTCCATAGCTGTATTTTGCTGGAAACTGTATCGATATTGGCTTAATTAAGTGTACACCATCCGAACCGAAATCGATACGGACTGACGGGATGTCTTCTGCATATAGTTGGTCCCTGCGAAAATTTGGCCATATATGATTTCTGTAATAAAACCCATGTTACCATTCACTAAACCTTTTGACACGTCAATATTCGACCTTAATATCACTTTAGCTCCCACAAATATTTTCAGTACATTGGGAAGACCTCCTGATTTATTTATATCATTAGGTATCACAGAATTCAAGTCCTTATTACCGAAGTTTCGTGTAGCATCAACGAGCTGGTCTTGTGCTTTAATTGTATAAATAACAGTCCCTTTATCCTCAAAACTTGGACAGGTGATAACTGCATCAGATCACCAAAGAGTAAAACATTTATGCCTCCAAAACAAGCGTCCGGGCTTTTCAGTTGACGCAAACGAGAGTCAATCGTGCAAAGCTTCTCATAAGGTACCATAGAAATTTCATCTATGAATAGAAACTCAACGTTTTGCCATAATTGGCGCATCCCTCTTAAATAATTACCAGTTAGAAGTGGCATGCTAACAATAACTCCATTATTTGTACTGGTAGTTTCAGCAGACGGTGTAGTGTAGATCCACCGACCAACCGTGCTGCAACTCCAGTGAGAGCACCAATTTTCACTACCGATTTCCCATAACATCGCTTAACTTAGGTTTTCAATAGATTAAAGAGGAAAGTTTTTCCGGTACCTGCTCCACCAGTTACAAAAATTTTCTCTTGTCTAAAATCACCGTTAAGTTGATTCTTGATACTCTCTGTGATGAAGATGAACAATTGTCTTTGATCAATATTCATAGCCTGTTGTGCTTTCTGGAATTGATAATTGCTCATTTCTTCCCCAAGTTCAGGATTGATAATCTCTGGCTGATCTAAAATTTCAAATGCATGTACTTGATTGAATGCATTTTCAAGCTGTTGGTCCCACCCCGGAATTGGCGCATATGTCTACTCATTTCCTTCAAACGATTTTCACGATCTAAGATGTCCTCTTTTGCATTATCGAAACCTTCAAGTAATTCAGTTTCCGAACGATAAGGCATATATTGATTGAGTAGGCTGTAGAAAAAGTTTTCTGGATCTGATGTTGCTATAAAGTATGGCACCCTCACAACTGCGAGAACATTGCGCACAACCATTTTTCTCTTATCTAATTATAAGGTGATGAGTGGGCGACGTATGTTTGGATGTTCTTCATAGGCGTCAGGATCTACACTTTCCTCCATCTCGCTTACCTTTTTCGGATAGAATGGTTCAAACAACATTGCAAACTCTGTTAGGCTCATGTTCGCAAAATCGTAGTCAGGATGTTGTAGCGGACGTTTTTCATATCTTTCAAAGATATTGCTATAATAGCCAGTTGTCGAATTGCAATACTCTGTAACGTTGTTCTGGCTTTCTTGAGTTCAGAAAAATGTAGCTTCGCGAGCTGTCTCGTAATGGGATGTGACAAAGTCGATACGCACATTCTGCAGCCGATACTTGTCGTTCATGAAGAATCTTCATACATATCCTGAAAAGTTTGCGTGAAATATCAGTTTCTTCACGTTGAATCTGCTGTATTGCTTGCAAATCTACGCCTTCAGGTTCTGCTTTCGAGAGATACTTTGCTATATAGTACGCTATCGCTTCGTTTGATCCGCAGAGCTGAATATCCTGTTGCCTGTCCACAGTCTCAATACCTCTGGGTGCTAATTATTTACCCACGCATCTTCCTTTCGACGCTTAAGTAAACAAATTCTACCTCCGTTACGAAGAAAATCATCTGATTAATAAGACACGATTCGTATTTCGTCACATTCTTGACGTGGAAAGTTGAATCGGCATCTTACAGAGGTATTATTTTTTGTACAAGTTTGTGTATGCCGATGAATTTGACATTTCTTAACTAGATCGTGAAGCACTGAATCTTCTTCTTCTGTAGGCATTCTACAGCAACAGTTACGATCGAGAAGAAGTTTCCCTTCTTCTGAGTATAACTCTGGATGATTTTCAATCCAGATCACCATATGAAGGTATGAGGACTGCCCCGATTCTGGAACTCAATACGCCACCAATGATCTTTCACTTTGTCGCCAAATACATCATCAATGTTTTTGATAAATTTCATTAGAGGATTTATTCTAATCATGAAATGTCGACTCAAAATTACTGGGTACTTTTCGATAAGTCTTTAAGTCTCATAAATGTCAAGCGTACTAGTATTAACATCAGGTCTACCATCAGCTATTAACAAAGCTTTTCGTTCATCCAACTAGTTGAGATCATTTGAGCTAAATGTTACAAAGTAGGTTGGAGCTTCTAAACATCTGATTTGAGCTTATAGCTCGTTTAAGGCTGATCTCCAATAAGCTGCAGAACCCCTCAAATTTTTCACATACAGATGGACGTCACGTCTTCAACCGCTTCTTCTTGATTAACGATTTTCTTGCCACATGCTGAAATATAGTGCTTTTAATACGATAATATTCAAAGAAGGATAAGGCATAAAATAGATAGTCATTGCGTTGAAATCTTGTATCACTTCCCAATATTCTGAACTGAAAGTAATCTAATGCAATATTTACAGGTATTTGCTCTTTAAAACCATTTTTTCCATAAGGAAACAAGAAGTACCAGGCAAATTCTTCTGCTTTCAGTTCATGTCCCACATTAACGATATTGTCTTTCGTTTTGCGGGTAATCTCATTCAGATTTCGTAAAACTTGTAATTCATCTTCCACATTGGGTTGCATTACAACAATCGGTGCCATCACTGATGTCTACAGTGGGATTATTTGATCAGTTAATTCTTGTTGAGAAGTGATCGTTTTAGACGCTGCCGTTACCGTTCCAATACTCTGTGTTTCTGTTTTCTCAGGTTCATCATTTATATCAAAGACTTCGTCGTCAACGTAATCAAGAGTATACTGTACATTTCTGCTGCCTGTTATACGTTTACAAACCCTCACAAACTCTTCTAAATTATCGCATTCGATGATGCAAACTTTCCCATTGCTGTCTTTCGCTCTGAATCCCTTTTGACCGCAAGAATGTGAATTGCTAAAGTAGTATTTATCATTGTAGTGCATCACTCCGAATGATTGTCCACCTGTTATTAATATGCCAGCACTATATAATACGAACAGGTCTTTCAGGCCTTGACGAAGGGTGCAACCAAGGTCTGCATTATACTTATCGTTCAAGCTTCCATATATGCTCGGTTCATCGTCAAAAATGATCTCAAACCTTTTGCCAAATGCGAACAATTAATTGATCTTTGACCGCATTGAAATTTCGCACCGATAGATATCCATCATTCTCAATGGGATAAGCCGTTAAACTTCTCTCATTTTCAAATCTTCTATTACTGTAGATCTGGTCGCCTGTTATCATATTTATATTGAGTGGATTTGTAGACCAGTGCTGTGGTATAAGAATACTGGCTCTTAGAATGTTTGCCAATGCCATCGCACAGCATTGTACACCTGCAAATCCTGACGTAAATATGACATTGTTTCCTTGATGCCACGAAGCACGTACAATTCTCGAAAAATCATTGATATACTGGCATTCTTGTCAGGTCCTTCGTTGGTCTCCTCAGCAACCTCCACTGGTGCTTCTTCTACTCTTATTATATCTTCGCCATTCATAACAACATTTTGATCGATAGTTACGTCTTTGTAAAGTGGATTGTTAGTAACTAGCCAAATAGTGCGTAATACACTTTTTGCCTATGTACTGAAAACTGTCGTGCAACGTTAATATTTTCAAGACGCTCAGTAATGACAACTATTCCAGCATTACTTGTGTATCTTGGTAACATCTTCGGCAGATTTTCAGTAACTTCGAAAACATCCTGGGCGAACAATAATTTAACAAATGGTATAAATGCGTGAAATCAGCCTCTGCTCAGCTTGCGATAACTCTGCAATTACTTCTGGAATAGAGCCTGGATCCAAATTGTTCCAGTAAGACTTAGATGGTGCAATATTTTTCTTCGAAGTCAAATGGGCCTTGCAACGATTTCAAACAACCAAGCAACTCTTTTGTTTTAATTCGTCAGGTAAATATGGTGCCGTTTTAGTATCTACAATTCAGTTAAAAATTTGATGTTTATAGCACCGTTTAGTGCAAATTTCACATATCACAAAATCTGTTAACTGTCTACCTAAAGCCCGTCATACTGGCTCTACTTAATCTTCTGGACTTAGCGTTTCGTTGCTGCATTTGTTGCAAACGAGCCTCTTTGGCTTGTTCAGATTCTGAGGCTCGGGTTTGAGCTGTGTGCTGACGCACTTGCTGCAAATGAGCCTCTCTAGTTTGTTCAGATTCTGAGGCTCAAGTTTGAGCTGCATGCTGACGCACTTGCTGCAAACGAGCCTCTCTAGTTTGTTCAGATTCCGAGGCTCGGCTTTCAGCGGCATGCTGACGTGCATTCTGCAAACGAGCTTCTCTGGCCTCCTTTGACTGCCTGGCTCTGCAATTTTTCATATAGAGCCTTCTTTTCTTCTTTCTCTCTTCTAATTCCTCGCTTGAGACTCCTGTAGTTCTTTTAATAGACTTTTGTCTACTTTTCTCTGTTCTTGTTGTCTTAGCAGACAACGATCCTCGATTCTTTTCCGAATTAAATTCTTCACAAATATTACAAAACGAATCGAGACCTTTATTACATAAATGAGAATAATTACTTCTTGTAACAGTATACTCTCCAGTAGCCAAGTAACCCACCACTAAAGTGCTGCAGTCGTCTGATGACGACGCCTGCGGGCCTGCTTCCTCACCCTGACCAGACGCCGTTACTGGGACTCCGAATCCCTGCATCGTAAAGTACTCATCACTTGTACCTGCCATGACGGCATACACGTCGTTAACCCAGGAACTTTGCCAGATAGTTCTGTTGCCCACCATCACCACGTGGAGGTGCCCTGGTTACAAACACAAGCTATGAAGTCTTAATATGCATCATAACTCATAATATTTGTGTGCATCTAGGAATTAGCAAATTGCTCTCTGGGTGTCTAAATCGTTGAGTATCCGCTAAGAGTACACGAAATCATACTTATCAAATGAATGAAAGTTGTAATTTTCGTTCAGCAAGGGAGTACGTAACAAGTAATACGTTGCAGTCATTCCAGAGTTGTGTAGGTTTCCTCTAGTTTGAAATGACCGTAAAACTAGACCGGCGTTGCCTTACCCTTGACTGGAGCTGAGTCATGATGCCTCAGGGCTCAAGCGAGGGCGGATTCTTGCGTAGTGGACTGTAGCGAGTTGCCACTGCTGACTTGGGCGCAGAACGCATATGCGCAGAAGCATTTGTATACGTGATGTAGTTCCATCGAACTCTTTCTCTGCCTTACCGACTTTGTGATGATAGTTACTATAGAGATCAGTGTTGTAATGGGTAACGGGGAATCAGGGTTCGATTCCGGAGTGGGAGCCTGAGAAACGGCAACCACATCCAAGGAAAGCTGCAGGCGCGCAAATTACCCACTTCTGGCACGGAAAGGTAGTGACGATACGGGTCTTATTCGAGGCCTCGTAGTCGGAATGAATACTCTTTAAATCCTTCAATGAGGATCCATTGGACAGCATCGTGAATAGGAGGGATTGACGAAAACCCATTTCGATTTAGGGCACCAATCCCGAAAGTTACTGAAAAAAACAATTATTTTTTTTTTCGGCCGTGGACTGGATTAGAACCCACGATTGGAGAGTTTGGGAGTTGACGTCAGCGAAGACCCGCGCCTAAGACTGCTCGGCCAACGAACGAACTTAAGGTAAAGGGATATACTAACAGTAATAAGCCACTTGCTTTCAGTCCAAAGGAGAGTTACTTACAAACATACAAACAAACATAAATACAGGTGAAGCTGATAAAAGCGTGTTAAAAAGAAGTATTCTATAACCAACTGGACGAAGCATACGAAAACTGCCCAAGAAACGATATAAAAATCGTAATATTGGAATTGAATACCCAAATTGGCCGAGAGGAACAGTTCCTGGGCACCAAAGGCAGACACTCCCTCCATGAAAGATCCAACCGAAATGGAGAATTTCTAATCAATTTTGCCAGCAGGAAGGATATAGTTATAAGCTACCCTTTTCCCTCACAAGAATATACATAAAACTACGTGGATCATGCAAGGTGGAGCTTCCACTAACCAAATAGACCATGTCCTCATAGACAGAAGAGCAGCAGCAACTACCGTAAAAAGTATAGACGAGGAGCATGCTGCAGAACACCTACTGGTGCAGGTAAAGTTCAGATGCAAAATATGCAGAAACAACATCAGGGCAAGTGCAGCACCTGACTGCTTGAAAAACTTCAGCTTGAAGAAGAACTTTTCCGAGGAATAACAAACAAAGGAACTTTAAGAGCGGAGGAACATTGGAATAAATCTAAATTTGAAATGCTAGGATTCGCAACGCAAATAATAGGCAAGAATACGAGACGGAAAAGGGTGCGCTGGTTTGATAATGAGTGCAGAACGGCCATAGAAGATCGGAACAAAATTCATAAGGCTTACGTCGAGAGAAGAACAAGAGAGAGGAGATCTGCATTTAAGGATTCAAGAAGAAGGGATGACAAAACATGCCGAAAATGCAACGACTGGAACATGAACATACGTATGTGTGCACTTCGAGAAGAAGGACTGATTCTACTCAGATAAATCAGCAAGTGACACAACAGTCCAGCTCAGAACTAAGTTCCCGTGAACCCTCATTGGAGCTACAAAATGACCTGGAAAAATATTTGGGTATGTCATTGTCTATTAAATTATGAAACTTGGCAAGCTGTAATTTTTGTAAAGGTAAACTAAGGATTAGAGGATTCGTGAACTATAAATAATTATTTTGGTTAGTAAAATTTCAGTGACTGAGGATTTTTTTAAAAATAAACTCTGTGATGTATCTTCTCTGTTAACAGCACGATTACTACACATTTAGGTATTGGTATGAAACAGAGTTAATAAGTACTACACCATTGCCTCTATAAAAGGATACTGTCCATTATAATCTATTGAAGAAATTTACCGTAAGTACTTGGCTCTGCACCAACTGTAGTGATATTCTGTTGGATGTCAAGTGAAGTTGTGCACGAGAAAAGAGTAAGCGAACAGAGAATCGAATATTCTCTCCTTGGATTTTGGTTGGTATAACAATAACTCCTCTTTCGACAAACGGAGTAGGATCTTTGAAAAAACTGTTTTCATGTTCCAAAATGATTTATAGGAGACTTTATTCCTTAAGAAATATGCTCAACATAATTTGGAATGATATCTGTAATGTGGAAACTCTATGTGGGAAAATTAATATTTTCATACGGGCAACTGACGCACACAACATATGAGTTGCGAATTCTAATAATAATTTACTTTTTTTCAGTCACGACAGACCATTTATTTTAATAAATGGCTTTAACGATATTTGAACCGCCCCATTTGTTAATTATCAACCCTGATAAAAAAAAAATATGCGCACACTGCTGGCCATTGTTCGCAACTATTTAACATATTTCTTTTTCGCGTGTTTAGTAGTTTTATTTAATTTTTTTGATGTTGAAATTAACAGGCAGATACTGCGGGGGCGAAATATGAGAACTTATATTAGGTATTCTATGTCTTTTTGAAATTCTTTTTTCAACACAAAGGTTTAATATGGGATGCCTACATACCAATCCTGATAAAAGGTAGTGATAAGTTCTCCTTCCTAACGCAATATCTCTCACATGTCCAACAACAATTTCCTTTGCCATATCCGCAGAACAATCCAGAACCACGTACTTATTCTCCCATCTTGATTGTTCTTCCAATCCTCTCAAAAAATGTAGAGCGTCGGTGACATTGCTGATTCTCCTGACTGTCCTTACTTGAAAATTTTCATTTCCAGGAGCGAAGGCTTGGTAAATTTGTTGTAATCTTAGCAAACCTAGAGAACAGATGATAATTATTGAAAATAATGTTCCTAGATCTAAAGTCAAAGTGGTACTTAAGAGATTAGGATCAAGTTCCATGGATGAAAATAGTAACATCATGGTAATTGATCAACCTGTGTATACCCTAATGAAACCAATCCAGTTAAATTTCCAGGAAAATATGCAGTGTGTTACCTTATTGTGTTTTCAGAATAAGGAATTGCAGCAGCTGGATTTGCTAATTACCTTTTAAAATAATAGTCTTAATGTTTTTCTTATGTATTTCCTGCACTTTTTAGTACCACCCTATTTTTATCTTTAATTTTATCAAGCTTACCATCATTCGAGTCATAAAGATAAATGATCCTCCTCCATCCGTAATACTTAACGGTATCGATAATGGCTTGATGGTATTCTGGTCTCATCGAAATTGCAAAGTCAAGAAATCCTGAAGACGGAGCTAACACCTTTTCCGGAAACCACGGAGTGACGAAAGGCATTTGGAAGGTGTTACTGTACGAATGCAAAGTGTCGAAAGAATCCGGCGATACTGCACCGACCATGGAGTAGACTCCTCTGGCGAATTGGTTGCAAACTGAAATGTATTTTATGTGGGTATAGGTTTTTCAATTCAAAGGGCTCAATAACTTGGCATATTGTTCGTGGTTTATTCACTATGAGGAATATTTGGCAATCTTGTAACATTTTCAAGAAAACCTAAGTTGTGATAAAAAACATATCTTGACCAAATTATGTTTAGGCCACTTTTGGATGAGCCTCTTTTATGTTTAAAAGTGCTGCATATACAACTAAAATCTAGTTGAACGACCTATATTCACCAGTAAAATTAATTTAAATAAATTAATTCAAAGGAGTGCGGCTCTTATAATCACGCAAAACTCTAATCATTTTAATGAAATTTAAGGAGATTTTTATTCAAATTAAACACGGTCGAGGTAATTAAACTTATGCGCAATTTTAAATTAGCGAATCTAATGGTACTGTGCCCTTTTGTGTGCAGCGCACTAATGGGACTAGTTTAAATGTAAATTACCATTCGAAATCAAAATTAAACTTACTTAATCGCGATAGTTTGAATGCGTCCGCAGTGTTGATGACGTCGACGTAAGCTTGCAGCTCGAAACGTCGTCCCGAGTCATTTTGATTGTGATTGGCGATAGCGAATTTGAATGCTGTTTGCACGTCATCGGTTCCTTGTTCAAAAATGGCGCCTGAAATAAGAGAACAGAAATACAATAAGCTGTTATTTATATCTACGATCCCGGTGGAGATTTTTTTTTTATATTGGACCGCCCACAAAAGACAAAGTCTATACTACCTAAGCGGTACCATGAGCGGAAGAAATTAAGTAACGATTAACCCTCCGTTTGAACACGTGGTTAAAGCTTTCAGGAAATGAAGTTGGAAGCAGGGGGTTCCAGAGGTAGGCAGTAAAAAGAAGCCCTATATTTAGAGGTCCTTGGGGTAGCCAATAGCCAACTTTACCACTTTGAGATTCTTGTGGTTCTTAAATAACTTCTCTTAACTGGAATGAGGTTGACCAGATCGTCAGAACATCTCCCATGGTAGTAACGATAGCATAACGAAAAGTCGACCACCTTGCGTCTATGTTCGAGATACTGCAATGAGTCGGTGAGAGTTGGATTATCGATCATTTTTATTGCTGTTCTTTGTTCTGCATCTAATAGAGCCAACGAATGCTTGGGAGCATCACTCTAGAAATGAGAACAGTTTAGAACAATATAGTCCTCTTTGAGCCTTATAAAAGAGAAGAAGCTGTTCAGGAGTAAAAAAAAAAATTGCACGAAACAAAAAACCTAATTTCTGAGAAGCAGTTTTGATGATCGAAGATACTTGATCATGCCACGACAAGTTGGTCGATGCGAACACCCCAAGAAAAGATACTAAGGAATTGACAGCAAAGTTTTATCCCGACATCCTTAATGCTGCATATCATCGGCGGAAGATTTCCTATTTGAGAATACTGTTGCTTTAGTCGTAGAAGCATTGAATCTGGCTAGATTGTCAAGGCCCAAGGTGGTAATAGTATCTGCTTTCAAGATCACTGTTGATAGAGTAAATTTGTTCTCGGGGGAGGCGTGTGGAAGTGACTGCAAAAAGCGGTTTGTTAGAAGAGTAAGATGCCATCAAGCTACTACCTATCGTCCTCAAAGCTGTATATAGGATTTCAATTAAGGTGAGAAACAATTATGTTGGGGACAAAATTGAGGCTTGGGAAACGCCGACATTTATGAACAGTGTATTTGAAGACACACCGGCGACCACAACAGGCAGTGACCTGCCCCAAATGGCTACATTCGTTCGGAAGGCCATACGATGGACGTTTGCCGAAGAGACCTTCATGTCGTCATGTTTTTCGAGTGTCGAGTTCCAACTATAACTGATGTACGCTAGCAGATCCTCTGTTGATATCTTCTACACCGTACCCATACTGTTTGTCAGAGATGAGCTTATTGACTTGGAGGTATTTAACGACTTCCAGTTCGACTGCCTTTTTCATTACTTTTGAAAGTGCGAATATTAGTGAGATGGCATGATGATTGCGACAAAACGCCTCGACTGCAAGAAAGTGAAAACAGTTTGCGAAGAGTTGAAACCAACTCTTCAACTCTTGTGCGTAAGTTTTGAGGACAATTGGTGGATTGCCGTCGTCGGAACCACAAGATTCCACAGTGTCAAGTTGCAGGCTATCAGAACTTATCCTGGAACGCGTAGCTGATATAAGTTTGAGGATTGAGTTGAAGATCCAAACGTTGTAACGAAGTTCTCAGAATTTTTGTTAGTAATTTAATAACAATTCATATTTATATTTATTATTCTTTTACGCGTGACCTTGCCAGCAAAAAGCATTCCAGTACCGCTGTCCGCGCGCCTTCGATCGGAAATTCACGTGTCGACTCGGCATCACTTCGAGACGCAGGTTCTGACGCGCTGCTACTCGCTAATAAAAGGCGCTACGCATCGTCGACACTGGGAGTCGCTCCAGCAAAGCACAACCGACCAGACCTACCGCCTGGATGAGACAAGCTGCCTGCAGATACGCCATAGCCGACGTCGAAGTGGACCGAGCCCCCAAGGTAATCCTCCGAACCGAACCGTTAATACCGCCGCCGCCAGCAGCTCGTAGTTCAGAAGACCGTCGCCTTCCGCCAGACAACCATGGGAGCTTGAGCACAAGTATTTTCTTGTTCGTTCCCACGCATGAGCAATGCGGCCACAGGGTGGTTTGTTAATCTGTGGCACCATTCTCTGCTATCTAGAAGGGCTAGGGCTATCGCGTTGGTTTGGTTCCGCGATATCCCTCACGCCTTCTGGGATCGAGATCTTTCACGCCTTCTGGGATCGACAAGCTCCGTTTCCGCTTCTCACGCACGTGAGCAATGCGGCCACAGGCTGGTTCGTTACTCTGTGGCACCATTCTCTACCATGCCGAGGGTTTGGGGGCTATCGCATTGGTTTGGTTCCGCGATATCCCTCACGCCTTCGAAAATCTACAGTCTCCGTCTTCTCCATTCCCACGAGAGGGGAATGGGGTCACTGGCTGGTTCGGTTCCCAGTGGCACCATTCTTTTCTGCGCCGACGGGTTAGGGTTTCATTGTGCAGGTTCGTTACGACGATATTCCTCTCTCCGTCTGGGGATGGTGAGTATTAAAACCTGTGCTCGGCCGCTCCGTTTCATTCGCGCAAGTGCTTTAAGCTTTCACTTATACGAGCTGAGGGCAAAGGCGATTACCGAACCGTACCGAATAATACCGATTACCGAACCATACCGTATCAAGGCGATTACTGAACCGTATCGAATAATACCGATTACCGAACCGTACCGTATCAAGGCGATTACCGAACCGTACCATATCAAGGCGATTACCGAACCGTACCGTATCATACCGATTATCGAACCGTCCCGAATATTACCGATTAGCGAACCGTTCCGAATTTTGTCGCCTCTCGTACCGTAGAGGTTTTGCTTTTGTTATCCCCCCCTCACTGTTTCTTTGATAGACCTTAGTTATACTTTCCTGTTTAATTTATTGTGGGAAATAAATATGTTATTAAGTTGATTGGAGTTATTCTTTTCTTGCGCACGACCTCTGGTTTTTCTTTCTTCACTGTAACAAGCTACCTGGTGCACGTGGACCCTCGACCACGTTAATCCCGAGGGTGGCGCCCGAGAAAACCGATGGATAATTGACCGAAAGTTATCACCTGACTGATAAAGCTTGCCACAGCTTAACACCCCTGAAAAACCCGTTACAACGTTGATGTATAAAAAGGTCAATCAGCGACAATCCTTTCAGCATTCTTTTATTGTTTTCTGCAGTAAGCTAAATCCTCTCTTTACGAAAAAACGAAAACATCAAGAACTACTTCAAGCTACTGGCATTTTCACGTAGAAACTCAGTGGAATGTTGTCCAAAAAACCGAACAAGTTTTTATCATTGAAATTCTTGAATAATGTGCCAGGCAGCAAATATCAAATGATAGTTCATTACTTCGTAGGTATCTTTGAAAAATTTCAAGGCGACGAGAGGACAGCATTCGAAATCACCAAGGAACTCAAGGAAGAACACATCTTATTGAGTGACGCCTCGAGTGACGCAGAGAGACAACAAAATCATGTTGAATGGCTTTAAACTTGAATTCCCCATTTCTCGACCCATAGCATAAATAATCCTATACAAAGAGTGAGTGATAAGATGCATAATAAATTACCATAAATGAAACAGATTGAGGACCTAAAACAAAGATATGAGGAAATCAAAGACCACATTATACAACAGGAAGACCATCTGGATTATACCTATTTGGGAAAATGCGAATTGTTATACTCTCGGATTATGAAGGGACTGGTATCTATTTTCCGTTTTTTTAATAAAGCAGAAAACAAAACTCGAGATCATTTGAAAGTTTTTTTAAATTTATTGGAACTCGACTCAACGCTTCCGAAGTTAAAAACCGACTGTTCGCTAGCGATGTTACGAAGCGACTTACTTAACTCCAATTCTAAAAACTTAAAGTAACCTTAGGGTAATTCTCACCATGGATAATAAAATAGGGTCTGAAAAGGTACTCTGTATTTGGCGGCAAGAATACCCCCTATGGGTTACCAACAAAAGGAAACATCTTTTCGGAAAACAGGACATTGGTTGTATAATAATTTGCATCGTCCTTCAAAATCTAAATAAGCAATAAGTTATAAAACTTATTTGAATAAGGGACTAAACTAAACAGATGATGAAATTTGTTAAGGAGGAAATGCAGTGGACATTGGTATTAATAATGATAAAAGAATGAATTTACTAGTTCACAACAGAAGCTTCAAAAACAAAGTATCAAGAGAGTCATAATAAGGCTGCAAATTACTCATATCATGTGCAAATACTACGAAAATATACCCTAGCATTCTGTTAAATATCTCATCAAAACTTCTGAAAGAAGAAGAACCACAACTGGTATCCAAAGGTCTCAACTTTGATAGAGAAGACATTTCAACTTTGGACATTGTAGCATCAGTAGAATCGGTGATAATGAAGAAATTTATAAAAGAAAACCAAGCAACAAATCAAGAATATATCTAAGGAAGAAGAAAACAGTCTACAACCCTACTCCAAACCAACTCATCCAAGAAATCTACAAAGGAAAGTATGGACATTATGGACAACATTATGGAAACTCACAACACCAAGTTGAAGTAGACACTAAAAATGTGGAAGTACGTTGAATTGAAGGAAGATCCACCACAGGCACAGTGGAAATTAGGATCAACAACGCACTGCGGTTATCCAAAGCATACATAGATGATATGACCAAAACCAGGCCAGGCTCACTATTCCACAATAGTAAATCACCACATCTCTATGGATTGACAAAAATACACAAAGACCGAGTCCCACTACGAACAATCACGAGCACAGAAAACTGCTACAAAATAGTAATTTATGATATAAGTGCTAAAAGTGACATTTTATTTTGTGAAAATTGAAGTTTGGGACACGACGCCGAAGGCGGAGTGTTCCATCTCTTTGAACAAAATAAAATCACTTTTAGCACGAATATCATACACTATTTTTCCTACAAACGCACTAAAAGTGATCACTATTAACACCAGTGTCATAAAATGGCATTTTAGACACTGACAGCATCCGTTAAAAACGACACTTTTAGTGACGTTTGTAGAAAAAAGCATTT